GATAAGCTATGTAACTGTGAAAGGATGGGAAAATGGATTGAAGTCATCTAAGAAGTAAACTATCAGCTTGACATGTTTTTCTAGCTATTGAAAGCCTTTTCATATTGCAATTCATTCTGACAGTGAGACTGTAGAATTCCTCTGATTTAAGTACCATCTGGTTATGCTCAAAGCTTTAAAGCTATTTTCTCAGCATAAAATTTCAGAGTCCTACACTTTTTTCTTCGCCAAACTATCCATTTTTAAGCCACAAATATTTTCCAGTCCTTTCAGATTTTATCTAAAAGTATATTTTAACAGTATTTAAATAGTTCTTAAACAATAACAATTTATCTTGATAGATGACATGATGTTTTTTTCATTTTATTTTAATTATCCATTGTGGAACCAAATTCCCTTTTGTTTTATTCCTTTGAATACTGTTTAATTACAGTTATCATGCCAGATATCTTAAAGGTTATTGTACCAATACAGTTTCATTTAACATAAGCCATGTGGAATCAATAGTCCTGTTTCCTAAAGTGAATGCTTGGAAAATCTTACATTCATATGTTAAGAGTACACATCCTTTCCTCATTAGTTGGAAAGTACAGGGATTTTGGCACAGGTTCTGTGTGGAAGCATTGTGCAGCTTTTATATGGATTTTGTTTTTAGCCTTTGATGACACTGTTTAGAATAGGAAGTATCTAATAAGTAAAGCATTTTGTCTAATGTGCTGCCAGTGTATTTAATATATGCCTGGAGGTCTGAAACATTATCTTCTCCACTACAGTAATATGCATTTAATTCTCTGAAAGCAGAAGGTTGAACTTTTAAAAGGGACTCAAAGTACATTTTCAACTAAATAATTTAAAACACATGGGATGGGGACCAGAGTAATGTACAGTTTGGTTTTTATGGTTTAATCATGATCATGTTAATGCACACCAGTAGCTAATTAAAGAAAACTTTTATTGTTCGTTTTAAATGGGTTATGTAAAGAGTAAGAGAACTGATATAATACATTGCTATGATAAATGTTACCATTACATTTGCTAACAGCAAGCTGATTTTGCAGTTTTTGACATCTTTAAAGTATTGGCCCATTTATTCCAAAAAATCTCTTTGGAGTTTTTCCATTGGGAGTCCCCTACCACCGCTGCCTCTTCAAAGGAGTATTTAATTGATGCCCAGTTTGATTACCAGACATATTTTAAAGGTAACTACAAAAACAGTAACTGGCAGTATCTGGCCCAGAGTTCTATAAGAGACTGATATGCAAAGTCCCAGTGATACTCCTGCTACTTTTTGTTTTGTACTGAAGCATCATCAATCAAAATGTGTTACAAATTATTACTTGTTTATTCCAATCTTAATCATAAGAACATAAGAAAATGTCAATATCATTACTTTTGTGTGGAGCGAGGAGACGTGGCTGATAGGTAATATGAAACAGTGCCTTTCACCTTTGGGTCACTACTTCATCTTCCTCCTTGCTTGGTACAGAGCAGAAGTAGTTACCATCTGACATATCTGTGACATATGTGAATTGACTTGGAAGTCTAAGTAATATTTCTATTAGTCAGATATCCGCATCACAAGAAACTGTACAGTTGAGACTAATTAGTACTTGTATTGGTAGTCTTAGCAAAAAAAGACAAGGGTCAACTGGGAGTGGAGGAAGAGCTACCCTCTTACCCTTTGGCAGGTGTTTTCTCCAGGTCAGTATATTCACAAAAAATGGAGGGGGGGGGGGGGGGCAGTTTCTAAACAGCCATGAAAGTCACTAAAAATTTCTTACAGATATTGCTCTGTTGCAACCCAGGTCCCTGTCAGTTCTTTAAATAGCTCCCTGCTGGCTTTTGCCTCAGCCAGCTCTTGCTGGAGCTACGTGCCAGGGCACACCCGCTTACTTTCGCTTCTGTTTCTAAATCAAACTAAACTCATAAAAACCTACGAAAATCTATTAATTTGCCAACTGTTAGTACTGTACTTGTAAAAAAGATTTTCATTTGTAAAGTAGATTATCCTTCATTTCTTGAGGACATATCTAGCTCACCCTAAACCAATGGGGAACAGTCATGATTCTGCTGTATGTAGCAGATGAATGGCAAATCACAGTGACTGCACAGGAGGAGTCTGCAGGCTCTATCCCCTGTTACTTTCATAACTCTCTTCACAGGGCTAAACAAAGAGGCTATTAACCAGTTTGGAGCTCCTATGCTCCCGTTTAAACCATTGCATCAAAATAGTTGTTGGTTCAAATACTCCTCTACCTTGCTGTGGAGAATCCCAAACATGAAGTGCCATTTCAGGATTTCTTCATAACTGTCTCTTCTGTCCATGCACAGATGTTGCAGCTGACTTGGTCCCAGGATATTAGCAGGACAGGGTGGGAGAGGTAATATCTTTTATTCACCAACTTCTTTTGGGAAGAGAGACAAGCATGTCCACATAATGAAACTTCACTGGCATTTCTAAAGCACCCATCATCACAGTATAAGGCAGGTAAATATTATTGCCAGTTGACAGAGGAGGAGACTGAGATAGAAGGGTTAATTGATTTGGCCACAGTTTCAGACTGAGTCACTGGCTGGAGAATTCCTTGTTCAGAATACAATAATTCATTAGGGCTGCTTCTAGTAAGTTATTTTTGTAAAGGCTACCTTAGAAGTGATATCATATTTATGAACCAATGATATGAGAACATCATTGAAATCAGCTGCAAAGATTTTTATTGGTGATTTAAAAAATATGTACGAGAGTGATGCTGAAAAGTTTGTAACCAGAGCTGACAAAAACTTTCAAAGAAAATCTCAGCTAGTTAATGGTTCTGTTTAGGATTTTCATGGTAATACTTTTCTCTAATACATTTACATTTTTAAGGAAATCTTTGCTTGTAAAGCAGTTCCGATAACCTTCCTCGGCTTTTCTTAAAAAAGAAACAAACCAAAACTAAAGAAACCAGTTTCCTAATATGTTATACAGTAGAAAGACTAACGAGAAAGAAATCTAGTACTTTACTTCCCTTCACTCTCATGATATTTATTGTGGATAAATATTGTCAGTACCTCTAATTCACAATAAATATTGTGACTACCTGTATATTTTTAATGGAAGATATTGTATATTTTGGGACAGGTTGTGTCTGTCCCTTCACTGTTATGAATGGTATAAGGAGACATCCCCTTAGGGCAGAGGCCAGGGACATTCCACTCATTGCACCAAAAGGAGCTTGCGACAGTGTAGGCAGTGACTCTAGGCTCTTCAAAGGAGCAGGACAGGGTGAGTTCATGTCACTACTTCACTTCCAATCAGTCAATGGAGCTGGCTTTCCCCAGCTGACCTTGGCTCCGTGTGGCATTTCAAATCAGCAATGCAACATGGAGCCCAGGGTCAGCGGGAGACTCTGAGTCCCCCGCTGACCCTAGGCTCCGTGCTGCACTGCCACTTTGAAATGAACAAAAGCCCCTACTGGGGACTCTTGTATATTTCAAAGCTGGCATGCTGAGTGCAGCCCGGAGTCAGCAGGACTTCCCGCTGGTCCCAGGCTGCATGTGGAGTTCCGAATTCCTCCTTTGAAAGGAGGGAGCTCTTGTACATTTCAAAGGAGGAATGCGGAAGTGCCTATCAACTTGACTAGTAAATTAACCATTACTTAAAATCCTTATTTTGAGTGGGGACCTGGGGCAGGAGGAGGTGGTGACCTGGGGCAGGGAGTTGGGATGCAGAAGAGGGTAGGTACTGAGTGAGGGTCTGGCCAGGAGGTGCTTACCTACGTCTGAATACAGTGGGAGACCAAGGCAGCAAGCAACCCAGGCAGTCACAGGCTGCTCAAAATGGCTGCCTGCTCCCTCCATGTGCCTCTCTTCTCTATGTGTGCGGGTGGGGAAAGGAGAGAGACTTTGTGTGCTGCCCCACCCCCTGCCCATTTATTGCAATTCTCATTGGCTAGTTTACAGGCAATGGGAGCTGTAAGGATTGGACTGGAGTAGGAGCAGCACTTGAAATCTCCCCCTTCTCCTACAAGGAGCGTGCGGCACATAGAGGGAGCAGCCAGCCATTTTGAGTAGCTTGAGGCTACAACAGGCAGAGAGCCTCAGGATCTTGATGGGGTAGCTGTGGGCCAGAACAAAGGGCTTGGTAGGTCAGATCCAGCTCATGAGCTGTATCTTGCCCACCCCAATGTAACTCTTGATTAGGTATGTTCACTATGACAAGACCTAAAATCTTTTACTGTTTATTCCATAGTACAAACTGTCTTTTTAAAGTGTTGCTATAACCAGTGATGTCTGTTTAAACATTTCTGTTTGATGAGATCCTGTGAAAGTCATAGCCAAATGCATAAAACTGTAGAGAGTAAATATACCACTTATACCACCATAGTGGCAGGCTTTATAAGTAGCTGACGTTTACCTGAGCAATAAGCTATGTAGTTTTATATAATGAGGCTGGCACTTGCGTTACTAAAAAAAAAAAAATCTTTCAAGTCCTACAACACAGTATTTATGTCTTACAATTTCCATTTAGTTTTTTTTATGAATTTGATATTAATTAGTACTTTTTGTATTGTGTAAATATTCTAAAGCATTTTTAATGGCAATGGTTTTTTTTTTTTAGATTTAACACATGAAACTTGGAAGAAATTCTGAATTTCAACCTTTTTCTAATTGTCAATATTGTTTCATAGAGGCATGATATTGTTTTAACCAATGTTTTTCTTTTAGAATCTTTAAAATATAAAGAATTAGTTGAAAAAAGATAGTTTGAACCTAGAAATCATTATTCATTTTTTTTCTCCTTCACATATTCCTTTGGCACTTCTTCAGATATGAGTCATCATTTCTTCGGAACAGACACCTGCTGTGTTTTCATGAGTGAATTCTCTGTTAAAAGTTAACTTGGCAGGTTTTTTATAATTCCCTTTTTTTGAAATCATGTTTAAATAGCAATTGTTTGTAGCCACTGAAATGGAAATACTTGGGATGTAGATCTAATAATATAATATTTTCCTTTCCAGGTTTCCAAACAAGAACAGAAAAAAATGGATATGTCTGATGGAGGAGCAGTCGAAACATCTTCACGTTATAGTGGTGCCCAAGATAGTGGCATTGGCAGTGATAGTGTTAAAATCAGAATAGTTCAAATAGAACAACATAGTGGCACTAGCCAACACCGCATTGCCCGTCCTTCCCGACAGTCTTCGATTGTGAAGAACCTGAACTTCATTCCCTTTGACATTTTTATTACTGCAAGCCGAATCTCCTTGATGTCTTATTCATGTACTCCTTTACCTAAATTTAAATCAGTGCAAGATCAGAAAGATGTTGAGAAAATAAGTAAAAGCTCACTAAACCTTCCAGAAACAGATTCAGATGGTAGCCAAGAAACCAGGAAGCTTAGTCAGGCATGTATTTCATCAGTAACTGCAGATGATCTCTTGAACAGTAACAGTTCTTTGCCCACTGGGAGAAAATCAGGTCTACTATCACTAGAAAGTCTTCATGCTTCCACAAGGTCATCTGCTCGACAAGCCCTTGGTATCACTATTGTTCGACAGCCTGGTCGCAGAGGAACTGGTGACCTCCAGCTAGAACCTTTTCTGCATCTTATTGTATCCCAGCCTTCTGTGCTCTTGAGCTGTCACCACAGGAAACAAAGAGTGGAAATATCAGTGTTTGATGCTGTGCTTAAAGGAGTAACCTCAGATTACAAGTGTACAGGTAAGACCATTTAAAGTCCAGAGACTGTTAAAAACTGCTATAACAATCAAGCTTCCTCAAAGTTTCAGGGATGATCAAACAGAAAGAGTTAACAGATTAGATAAATTTAATTTGTTTTAATTAAAAAATAAACAAGTAAAGTTTATATTCCATTGTAGAACCAAGTTTAAGAATAGAAAATGTTTGAAATTAGTGAAGGTTTAACCTTTAAGAACCAAGCTCTTATTTTACTGAATATTGTTTTCTCAGCATCCAAGAAATAATAGTGACTGTCACAGTATCAGGGGTTTAATGTATCAGGAGTTTCTAAACCAATATGATAAAAAGCAATGATTTGTAAGTCAAGTTTCTTTCATAAAGGGTATTTTTATGGGTGAAACCGTCTTTCTCTTGTTTTTGTAATTCCCCTTTTCCTCTCCTCTTTCCATTTGTTGCTATCCTTATCTCTTTATGAGAAACACTTGCCGCCTCAGAATTTTTGCAGGAATATTGATGAGGAGCTCCCTGTATATTTATTGTATGCAACCTGGTATACTTGCTTGTGGTACTTATTATTATACTTAGGTTAGTCCCAGCCATGCCTGGTTGCTGAAACCAATTACAACATAAAAATGTAAGAATGGCCATACTGGGTCAAGCTAATACACCATCTAGCTATGTATCCTATCTTTCAATAATGGCTGGTACCAGATGCTTAGAGGGAATGAACAGAACAAGGCAATTATTGAATGATAAATCCCCTGTCATCCTATTCCAGCTGCTGACAGTCATATGTTTAGGAATACCCAGAGCAAGGGGTTTGTGCCTCTGCCCATATTGGCTAATAGCCATTGATGGACCTATATCTTTTTTGAGATGAGGTAACCAAAACTGCACATAGTAGTCAATGTGTGGCCATACCATGGATTTATATAGCAGCACTGGAATATTTTTCTGTCCATTTCCTTAATAGTTCCTAACATTCTGTTAGCTTTTTTAACTACTACTGTACTTTGAGCAGATATTTTCAGAGAACTATCCAGGATGACTTCAAAATCTCTTCCTTATGTATTAACAGTTAACTTAGGGCTCATCATTTTGTATATATAGTTGGGATTGTGTTTTGTGAAGTGAATTACATGGCATTTATCAACATGGAATTTTGTCTGCAATTTTGTTGGCCACTTACCCTGTTTTGTGAGATCACTTTGTAATGCTTCACAATCAGCTTTGGATTTAACTATCTTTAGTAATCTTTTATTATTGGCAAACTTTGCCATATCTCTGTTTCCTCCTTTTTTTCAGATAATTTATGAATATGTTAAACAACATTGATCCCAGTAAAGATCCTTGGGAGATTCCATTATGAAAACTGACCATTTATTCCTACCCTCTGTTTTCTGCCTTTTCAACCAGATACTGGTTTTCAGAGAACGTTCTCTCTTATTCCATGTGTGTTTGGTTTACTTAAGAACCTTTGGTGAGGGACCTTGTCAGGGGGATTCTAAAAGTCCAAGTAAACTGTAGTAACTGGATCATCCTTGTCTAAGCCTTGTTGATGCCTTCAAAGAATTAGATTAGATTAGTGATGCATGATTTCCCTTAGCAAAAGCTCTTCCCCGATGTATTGTTGTCATCCCTCTTCTTCTTTTAACCAATTTGTCTGGTACTAAGGTTAAGCTTACTAGCCTATAATGCTAGGATTTCCTCCAGAACATTTTTTTAAACTAGCTATCACATCATCTGGCACAGAGGCAGATTTAAACAATAAGATACATATCATAGTCAGTATTTCTGCAATTTCATATACGAGTCCATTCAGAACTCTTTGGTGAATACTGCCTGGTCCTGGTGACTTATTACAATTTAATGTATCCATTTGTTCCATATCTACCTCAATCTAGGACAGTTCCTGAAATTTATCATCTGAAAACAATGGCCCACATGTGGGAATCTCCTTCACATCCTCTGCAGTGAAGGCTGATGCAGAGAATTCATTTAGCTTCTCCTTCATGGTCTTATCTTTTTTGAGTGCTCCTTTAGCATCTTAATTTTCCGGTGACCACACTCATTGTTTGGCAAGCTTCTTGCTTCAAATGTACTTAAAATGTTTTCATTGTTAGCTTTTGCTTGTTGCTCTTCAGATTTTTTTTTGGCATGCCTAACTATGCTTTTACACCCTGCCACCCTCCCCTCATGTTGGATGAAAAGCCGCTATAAAAAGAGATGAGGTCAGCTTCCCAGTGTTCCAGGTGTAGGAACCAAAGTCCTCTTTCCTTAAAGGAGGCTTTAAAAAAAAGAAGAGAGTATAACAGATTGGCCCAAGGATGCCACCTAGAAATGGGGTACGACTGAGCCCTCTGACTCTCACCAGCCTGGGCTCTCTCACACTGGGCTGCTGTGACAAGCTGCATAGCCCTTCAAGCTTGTATTTTCACCAGCATCCACAAAGGTAGGGACATACCCAGCTGCAGTTACATACAGGCTCTCTAACCATCAGCCTCCCAGCCTAGGATGCCAGAGCAGTACCATCCTCCTGTGGTCAAATTTGTCTAATATATGGGTTTATTTCCTGGTCCACCTTTTCCACAATATGAAGAGAACAGTGTACATGTGTGATGACCAAATAGAGATTTTCCCCAAGCACTCCAATCAAAGCTCACTGGTTTCGATTAAAATATGGAATAAGTAGATTCTAATTGATGGCAAACAAATCAAAGCAGATAAAAAAATGCAAACTACACCTGCAGTACTAGATACATTGAATATGAGTTAACAGATTTTGACCCTGAAGATAATACAAACAGGCTGCAGTTTTTTAAGAAGCAAACTGCTCTTCCTTTACAGCTTGGAAGCCCAAGTCTTTCATACACAGATTAGAAATCTCTAGATCGAGGGTTAAGCGCTTCCCCCAGCCCAGTTTAGTCTTTATTCCTCAGGTCTTTCCAGGAGTCCTTTTGTGTGGAGAGTGAAGAACTACCAATGCCATTTCTGGAGGGGGAGGGGGATTACAGATGCATATACACAGCTGTGTCACTTACTTCTCTGCTTCCTCCCATCACCAGCTAGGAGTGAGAGGAAGGGAAGGGAAAGAAAAGAGCAAGCAGTGTCCTGGTATGCATGGCTGTAGCTCCCCTCCTCACCCTCCTGAAATGGCGCACTTCCATCAATAATGTCAATCCCTGCCTTATATAGCTTTAGCATATGGCGAGAACCCTGTTTCAAAATTGTGGAAGTTTGTGGAAAAATATCGATATCCCAAGATGGAGTTCAGAGACGTTGTGGTCTGATCACATGCCCATGCAGTGTGATAGTACCCATTGCTTATAGACTAGCCAAAATGTCCTTAAGAAGGTTAAGCTATTCCTCAGTCCATTGCCTTTGCTGTAGGGATGTAAATAAACCATTTAAATGGTTAACCAGTTAAACGACTAAAATTGTAGTATTTAAGCCCAAGTTAGCAGCCCCCAATCCAAAAAAGGTTCCCCAGCCCTGACTTAAAGCAAGGTAAGTGTTTGGTTGTGTGAAGCTGCCCTCCTCCATGCATATCAGGATGCATAAAACCATATAGCAGAGACAGAGACAGTCCTGTGTCTCCCCACATCCCTTGGTGCCCTTTAAGGAGGTGGGCAGCTGGGGCCGGGTTCCTGAGTGCCCGTCTGTGCTGAGTGGGAGCAGCTGGGGGCCTGCCAACCTGCCTGGACCGCTGCAGCATGGCTGGGGCTCGAGTCTCATCTGTCCTCCCAACTGCTCCAGCCACCTAGAAATGGAGTACTGCTGAGACCTCCAGGCTACTCTTAGAAGTCAGTTCACTTCTAACCTGACTTTTCCCTCCCTCTCTTCCTGTGTCCACTAGAGAAGAGGGGTAGAAAGTACCAAGAAGGGACCTTAATCTGCAAATATTTGAGCTCTGCCATTTTCCCATAGGCACAAGATCTGCCAGAAAAATCCCATGTCTCCTTTACTGCTAGGACTTAGTCCTTTTGGCTTTTATCTGTACTAGACACTGGCCTCAAGTTGTGATTCCTAACATTACAAATTCCTATAAATTCATAATATTAATTTCTAAGTCCTACTGCCTTTAGTAAAATTGTTCCTTCATGATGCTGTGAAAAAGATGAAAAAGCCTACCAAGCCTCTGACAGTTCAGTCCAATGGCAAAAATTCCTTACTGATCCTAAAATAAGTGACCAATCAGACCCACAGTATCCTAAAAACATTGTTTCTGTACTATCAATACAGCGAAGGCAGCTGAAGGGAACAAGAATCCTCCAAAACCCTAGGAAGAGATCTAAGTGAAGAGGTTTAAGTTAGTAAAGGATGGGGGAACCAATGGGGCCAATGAGTTCCCCTGGCAGAATGGAAGACAGAGAGCTCTTGGAAGAGGGGGGACCAAGACTTGCAGTCCCAGTAATACACTCTCCCACTTCTCTCTTGGCTGTCTTTTTCCATTGGTGATACCCAGTAGGGAAGGGAAAGATTATGTCTGCACAGAGCACAGGACCTGATTCTGCTCTATTAAAGTCAATGTTGAAAGTTTCATTAACTTTAATGAAGAAGAATCAGGTCCTTCATATAGCTGGGAGAAAAATTAGACAAAACTATTTTTCACCAAAAATGTAGATTCAAGTTGATCAAAACATTTAATAAATGTATGCTTATTTTGGCTAATTATTCTGATAGGAGAAAAATTATGAAACATTGAAATGAGCTGTTATTGTCAGGCTAAATTCACAAAGAGATGCCTACAGTGCAGTTAAAAACCCATGGCTGGCCTATGCCAACTGACACAAGCTTGTGAAGATGAAGCTGGGGGCTGTTTAATTACTGTATAAATGTTAGGGTTTAGGCTGTAACCCAAGCTCTAGGACCCTATGAGGTTGGAGGATCCCAGATCAAATCCTACACTGCAAACAAACAGCCCTTTGGCCCAAACCTGTGAACCTGAGTGAGGTGGCACAGGTCAGGTGCGGGTGTCTAATTGCAGTGTAAACGTACTGTTAGGCACCTTTTACAAAACT